TGTCTTTTTTCTTTCATGAATGTATTCTTTTGATGAACAGAAGTTCTTAATTTTAATATAGTCAATTTTCTCAACCCTCTCCTTTATGGTTTTGCTTTCTTAAGTGTCTCATGTAAGAAACCAACTCTTATACTGAGGTCATAAATATATTCTTCTACACTGTCTTCCAAATTTTACAGTTTTGCTTTTCACATGTCAGTAGTCAATCCACCTGGAATGAAGTTTTGTGTACAGATTGATATGGGGATTGCAATTTCACCATTTTTCTTTCATTGAAAAACCTAACATTTCTCAACTCATCTAGTGTTATCTATGTCACAAATCAAAGTTTCATTTTTGTGAGGGCCTATTTCCTGGCTTCTGTGACCAATTTGTCCATTCCTTTGCCCTAGGGTCTAAATTGCTACGGTTTAATAATAAATATCTCTCTTTTAAGGAATGTGAAATATCATGGTTATTTCTAGGTGCATTGTTCTTTCAACTATATTTTAGCAATAGCTTAACCAAATTCCATTTAAAAATTATTTAGAACTATTTTTACTGGAATTGCACTGAATTATAAATCAATTTAGAGAAATTGACTCAATTAAGCTATTGAGTCTTCTGACCCATGAACAAGGTTTCTTTGTTCTTTTATATAAGCTTTAATACATTTCAATAAAATATATTTTTTTCCATGGTCTTGCCCATCTTTTGTTAGGCAAAGTCTTGCCTTTTACCAAGGTAAATGATAACTTATAAATGATATTTTCTCTCTGTAGACACATTGAAATAGATGTTATATTTTATGTCACATACCCAGAGAATTTGCTAAAATATTATATTATTTCTAATAATTTATCTGTATGTTTGAGGTTTTCTAAATAGATAATCACATTACCTGTGAATAATACTTTTATTTCTTCCTTTCCAATTTCTTTCTTTTATTTCCTTTTTTTTGCTTTCCAGCATGATGTGAAATGCAAGTAGCGACTGATTTTCAAATGTTAAACCATACTTGCACTATTCACTAAATTCAACTTGGCCATGATATCTCTTCTATATGTTATTGGATATGGTTTGCTAATATTTTGTTTAGGACTTTTTTTAAAAATTATTTTTATGAGTAGGATGGGCCTGTAAGTCTTCTTTTTCATCATTACTTGGTTTTGGTACCAAGATTATTGTGTATTACCTCATACATCTCACACTTGCAGGGTGTTACTGCATTCCTGATATCAGAGTTGTACTACTTTCATTTTTGTCTTCTGGAATAAGTTATATGTCACTGGAGATATTTGTTCCAGTTTGAAATAATTGATAAAATAAATTGGACTTTTTCTTTCTTCTTTCTTTCTCCCTTCCCTTCCTCCCTTTCTCCCTTTCTTCTGCTGTTTGTTACTCATGGTGATTTATTTCCCTGTGAATTCTGTACTTTGAAATTGTAAGCTCATACTTCTTGAAACTTTAACTTTTAGGCTTCAATTAACGGCGAATGTCTCAAGAAAGGATATGCTTTTTTTTCTTCCTGAAAGGTAGCATCAATTCAGGCTGCTGTGGTCACAATTGCTCAGAGAAAACTTTTCTTCCCTTCCACTCAGCACCAAGGCTTAACACTGGCAATTTCCCATGCAGTCCTTGGGGTAGAAGATTAAACTTATCTTCATCTTATAAAGCAGTGTAGCCCTTGGGGCTCTAGTTTTATGATGGAGTTCTCCAATTAGACGTCTCACTTTGGGTGGGCCCTGGGCTTTGTCTACTGTAACTCACAGCAATACCAATTATCATAATTTATAGAACACTTAGGATAAATATGACATTATGATAAGTGAAAGAAGTCAGACATAAAAAAGTACACACTTTATGATTTCATTCAAATGACGTTCTAGAATTGACAAAATTAATGTATAGTGTCAGAAAGTTGATTGATTGATTGCTTTAGGCTGAGAGTGACCGCAAACTTCTATAAGGGAATTAGTTGAGGTAATGAAAATGTTCTCTATCCTCAATGTGGTGGTGGTTATTCATCAAACTGTTAACCTAAACACATTTAAAATTGGTGCATTTTATTGTATATAAATTATTCCTCATTAATGTTGATTTTAATAGCTTAAATATGTAATGATAAAAAATTATCAAATTATATATTTAAGATCTGCACATTTTAGTCTACGTCCATTTTATGTCAATAAGATAATTTTTAAAAACCCCCTTAAGAACTGAAATTCCAGAAATCAATTAAGAGTTTTTACCACCACCCTTGCTAGCATCAATATCAGTTTAAAATAAATGGAGCCCTTATCAGACCCGGCAAACCTCCATAACTAGGCAGCTTTAGGATATTAGTCCTTGGTCAGATCACTATTTATCTTTTATTGTTGACGAAATGTATTTCTATGATTGAAGGCTATTTCTAAGTTAACATATTGGGCAGGAGAAGATGGTTATCTATACAGTATTGATTTTGACATCATTTAGGCCATTTTGACTATTCTGTATCTATTGCATGTTTATTCAGTTGTGACTAAAAAAAAGTCATGTCAATGTGAGTCACCAAGTTGCTATTTCTAAGGTCCCAAAGGTTTTCAAGGAATGAAATATGCATATTCATTTTTTCTGGTTTTACATGCAGAAGATTTTGGTGCAGTGTGATAGAGATAGGGTCTTCTTGCAAACTCATGGTCTCTCCCCAGCAATTAAAATGTGGTAGCAAAAGCCCATAGAAAGTTGCTAAATCCCAAAGTGCCAACAGACAAGTACAGATCATTCCTGCGGTCTTTTCCTTATCTCCAATCTCTAGTCTTACTAGCTTTGACATTTCTTTTACCTCTATAGTCTATGCCATTCTTCCCTCACTATCTCAGATTATGTTCCTAACTAAATTTCATTTTCCTCATTTAACTCTACTCCCTAATTTTCATCTTAATATCCTTTGAGTGATTCAATTCAGTTTAATTTCTTGGCTTCCTCTAATCTGCCCAGTGCTGTGCACATCCTTGTATGTATTAAAAATCAACCAGTTACTGAAACCTGTCATTGAAGAGATTACAAGCTAGTGGGGGAAATTTATGATTAAATAATGATAGAGATACACATGGTGCTATTGATTCATGAAGAAAGGGCCCCCAGCCCAGCTGAGATAGTCCAAGAAGACTTTGTGGAGGAGACATGAACCTAAATAGAGCCCTGAAGGGAGAACAGGATTAGTGGGCATACAAGGGCAACCAAGAGTCGGGGCAGGGAATGGCATTCAAGGTAGAGAAAACAGTAGCAGCAAACGCATGCAGAAACCATGGGATCCCTACAGTCCACAGGAAAGTTATTCTGTTTCCCAGGCTAGTAAGGCCCATCTCTCACTGTGCCCTTTAGCATTTTAGAACTTTTTGGTAAAAAACTATATTCAACTTATAAATGTTTTTAAAGTTGGAAAAATACTGCCATTTGTGTTTGTTTCCATGACATGTCTTTAACACTGCAAACTCTGGTTCATCACTGTTAATATAGAAATGTTCTAGCATGGTTTCTAGTAAGTACAAAGTCCATACTCTCAGAGGAATTTAATGGCACAGAAGAATTTGATACAGTTTACTTGGTATTTTGTATCTGGCTCATGAAATTCACCACAATGTGATGAATGGTGGTGGAAAGAAAATAACAAGAAAACATATTCAAATCACTTGCATTATGAAAAACAAAATAAAATAAAGAAAATGAGCTACAAAAAGATGACACTATTTAGGAGAAGGTTTCTATTCTAATATCTATCTCCCCTTGACACTACTCATCTTCCTGTCTGTGCTCAATGTTATAAATAATAATGTTTCTATATACAAAGAATATTTCTAAGGAGGACCTTTCAAGTAGAGGAGGATGTCCACCTCCTGGGGACAGTGTGCCTGTGTATGTATGTGTGTGGGTATACCTTGTTTAGGTTAGATCAGGATGGATACCGTCTTCAACTGAATGCTTTTCAAGGACCTTATGATTCTGAGTTTCAATGACAGTGACCATTACTATAGATTTGGGGATCACAAACCAAAGATGTAATTAAATTTAATGATTTTAAAGATATAGTCAAATTAGAGTCTATAAACAAGTTGTTTAAAAAGTTTTATATTTCTCCTATTCTTCAGGCTCCTCTAATCACCATAAGCCAACCTCCCTTTGAAACATACTTGACTTCCATTTTGAGAGCTTGTTTGGAGGTCCTAGCAGGGGAGCACAGCTACTCGTATACCCTTGACCGAAGAACAGTCCTCCTCTATTGGGGAAGGTCGTCCTCTTCGACCGAGCGGGTAGCTTCGGGAGGGACGCACATGCAACAGTGAGGGAGGAAGGGGACACTCGCCTAGCCAGCCAGATGAGCCGAATCAACCCTGGCGATCAATGGGGTGACAGATGTCGCAGCCAGATCGCCCTCACATCCTTGATTTCTATTTTGAAGCTCCTCTATCTCTGTTATTGGCAGCCAAAGACAGTGAGAATTATTTTATTATTTAAAGTGTAATATCTTTTTAGGCATTTTATGTTTACCATATAAATCATGCAAATAAGTACTATTATAATTTAAAGATTTAGGTTTTTAGTTTTTTGAAAAATGAAGACCTTTGCATCAAAAGATTCTTTTCCAAACAAAAAAATCACCGGATTTAAAGACAACATAAATCACTGTGTACACTGTATTGTATAAACATCATATAGCCCTGCTGTTGGGTACTTTTTTTTCCCTTTAATATGAATCACAACATATTTAAAGTGTTAGGGGTTAAAAACAACCATGGTTAAATATTAGGAAATGAGTCCAAATTGCAGAACCTGCACCTAAAATATGTGCTATGTTTCAGAATTAAATATTATTTTTCAAATGATAATTTTTCAAACTATTATTCAACATATAAAACACATGGCTCTAGAGAAATTCTTTCAAGCATAGAGCTAGTTAATAAGACACATAGAATATTTAATTTCATACATGAAGCAGAAAAGTACACATAAGCATTATTCTCCACCAAAAAACAAACCTTAAGGAAATAGTTGTTATTGTTATTGCAGTTGCCAGGCACTCCTTGCAATTCAGCCACAGTGTTCTAAAATGGTTGACAACAAAAATTAAAGGTTTTTTCCCCACTAGAGAGAGCAGCCTAATAATAAAGGATAGAAAAGTTCTGATGTCTGCAATAACACACACTTATAAGAACTAAGAGAATGCCCCCACTCTTAGTTTCTCAACATATAAACAGACTATAAAGTCAATTCACATTATTAAAAGGCCATTTATAATAACTGCAATCTCTAGTTCACACAACAAAAGCTGTTTGCAACCAGGAACAGCAAACAGCAAGAGTCAAATTTAATGTTATCCTTTTAATGCTTTTCACCTAAAAATTATATTCTTGTAAACTTTTTAACACTTATGCAAACCACAGCTTCCATTATATTTCTGCCTCTAATTATTACATGTTAACACATGCAATAAAAACGCATATCTATGTAGGCAGCTGCTCAAAACGGTATTCAATACTTTAAAAGATTCATGATATAGTTATAATGATATTAATTTCCATTAACGAAAAAAAGATTAAATTATATTTTAAGAGCAGAGGCCTCAGTTTCTAGAGTGATGATTAACCTTGCTATGAACTACTGCCTAAAGAGACTTTGAAATGCCATCTATAATCTAAGACTTTAAAATGTAATAAATATTATATTTTAAAAGGATATTTAAAGAAGTAAAAGCAAAATAATCATATAATTTTAAGTGCATGTAAAACAACTCATTTTAATGTGAACAACCATATGTATTTCCTAATACAAAAAAGTGGTACAGTACCAGTTCATACTATATTTCCAGCCTGAGCCCATAGTGTTTCACACTGCATAATGCTCTTTGAAAGAAACAGATACCCAAAATATATATACATGACCCATGCTACAGAAAACATATACCAGAATTACATCATCCCACTACTAAAAGGCTAAACATTGATAGTTGTGGAGTATGACAGGAGATTAAATTTGTTATTGAAAATTAAAATCTAGTTGAAAAATTTACCATAGCCCCAGAATTTCGTGGGATAGTGCTGACTGTCTGAGGGGTTTACTGAAATCCTCCATGGTTACCTTTCAGATTTGTTTAAAAAAAAAAACGAAAGAAAGAGAAATGAACAATAATTCTATTAAATCCAGAAATTCAATCACTAATCACAGATATACTCAGATCTACATTTAAAATTTTTCAATTATTCAGATTTATATCTCCCTCTTCTTTATAGGATCCTCCCTTTTATTCTTCAGCCTTTAAATAAAATGGCAGAGCCATTTTAACTTTTTTTTTAATCAGAATGTTTAACAGAGAGTGGACAGAAACAGGAATGCGAATTAAAATTGAATTGGCTGTTTGTTCATTTTAAACTCTTCTGGTTTAAATACGTGGAGAAAAAAACAGAAAATGCAGAAATTTAAATAGAGTTTGGGGATGATTTATATATTTTAAATTCTATTGGAGCATGACTTATAATTTTCTAAAGCATTAAAACAGACATATAAGCACACTCAACACATGATAAGGTATTCTTAACCCTAAATATGGTTCTGATAGAAGACCACTGTACTTTTACAATTTCAGGATATATTTCTCACATTGCAATGTTTTCCCTGTAGACAATTCAAGCAAGCAACTCCCCTCTGTCAATGTGATAAGTTCCAAGTTAGAATCAACCTTAGATGATTTGACCAAAACCAGAAGCTATCTATCCTTCAGCAGACAATGCTGATCTAAGTGCTGGCTCTGGAAATTAGCTGGATGAACCTGGTTGTTCTGCATTTAATTAGAGGTTTTCCTGGCTGGCCCAGGGAATGTCACAGGGGATATTGTCAAATAAAAATGACCCTAACTTTGAAATCACAAGATGATTCCATAAATAAGAAAAGTAAGAAACCAAGTGATTGAGTACACAATTCAGGATTAACAAAGATATGTAAATCAATAAATTGTTCAATTGCATATTAAATTAACTCAACTACTCAAGGACAATTTATCTATTGGATAACCAATATTGGTGCTTCTCATTTCCATTATGTCTCTTGGACATTTTATTTTCCATTAACAGAGAGAAAGAGAGTATATAAAATCGGGACATAACACTCAAATCAATCAATTTAACAATATCTGGTAGCATTAGTAAAAAAATTAATTTAAATCAAGCAGATAAACTAAAGTTTACACAAGAGTGAATTTTCATTGTTTTTCCGGCTTTCATCTCTCCTGTGCACAGAAAATTAACAGTTGGTTTTAGGGGGGCACGTTTTGGTGAGGCAGGGTGTAAAACACAAGAAAGGGAGAAACAAGTCAGAGAGGCGCATGAGAGAAGGTGGGGGAGAGAGTGAGAGAGACAAAGGAAAAGGCTCCTTGACCTTTTCAATAAAGTAAAGGTTACTTGGAGTAACATATTAGCAAGGATCTGATTTCTAGTTCTACAACTTGCAGACAGAAGAAAAAGTTTAACCTAAAGCTAAACTCTAATTTTTTTATACAAAATTTGTACACTCCATTATTCTTCTCTTTAACCCTATCTTCATAGGATACTTACGGATTAAGTATTTGCCTAGAGTAAAATCATTCTCCAAGTATTCAATTCCTCTATTATTAGAAATACAGAACAAAGACTCAAAGAACCTAAGCATTACAAGAAACTCAATCACCCAAAACAGAAGTCCTCTTTCCAACATCTCTTGTTACCCGGTTGTTCTGTGTGTGCCTGAACAGACACACCCATCAGTCCACTCCATTCAAAAGCAGCAGTGTGTTGCAAAGAGTTCAGGGGCTTTGGAGCCAAGAAGACTCTATCCTCATCCTGAATCTACCAACTACTAGCTGTACCACTAGAAAAAGCCTCAGTTGCTGCATTTCTAGAAAATAAAATCTCTTCCGTTTGCTGTGAAGATTACACAAAATCATGTAGGAAAGGTACCTTGCCAAGTGCCTGGCACTGAATATTTATTTACCCCCGTTACCCCTGAAAATAACTATTTAGGTAACAATCAACTCTGCTTTCTTTACAAAAAGAGGCAAACAAAAAAATCCATATGATGTGCTCCTAAGTATAAATGTTAAGTAACAAATATTCCTTTTGCATTTATTCACATTACTAATTATATTTAAAAAAAGCTTTAGTTGCTTGAGTTGAAAACCTTTGGGTATGAATATGATCAATTCCTCAAAATAACTGGAAGAAGTATGTAGGATGTGATCTAAAAAATTCGCTTGGAGAGCCTTAAAAAACTATCTTATTTTCTCTCTTTCTTTGTTAGACCTGATGCTTTATTTCAGACTCATGGAATATTAGAAGCTGGAAGAAATTTAGAGATTTAGCTCAACCCCTCTACTTTCAAGCCAAAGACACAGAGGCCCACAGAGACTGGAAAGCTTGGCCTCCTCACCTTCCACCACTTGATGTCACCCGTACTCCCCCGAACCTCAGATCCAAATTCTTTCCAGCAGCGAGAGCAGGTAAAAACCAAACCTGCAGAGAGTGATTCTACAATCCTAAAATAGGCTTGCAGCCAAAGCAAATCAGTGCCTCTGATAAAACACAAAATACTAGCATAGAGAATTAGAAACCAGGTAAGATGAGAGTTCAAACATTTGAGGAAATCGCTTTTTTAGCTTCTAAATCCAAGATAACATTTCCATATATAATATCTCAGTATAATGAAAAAATACTCGCCATTTCCAACAGACTCTGCAAGTGAAAAACTAAATCAACTAAATAGAATTCTAAGAGACTAATTCATTCACATGAAGACTTTCTAATGTTTACTCTTTGATCAAAAGTTAACTGATGCACCGTTTTTAATTGTCTACTACAGTAAATGGGGAACATATCTTCATTATACTATAAACACACAAAAAATTAATAGACATTTGGGATAAAATTCCAGACTAAAAGCACACAAAAAATACTTGAATGTCTGTTTACTAATCTTCACTATGTCCTGGACAGAAACTAAAAAACATAGATGAGTAGAGGTTGGACATAAGAAGTTACACTGTCCTTATGTCAGCTGTATAAAGAATGTTTGTTTTACCTGAATATTCACTATGTTTATAGAGTATGAAATACTACAACTAAATTGTTGATGAATGCTTTGAGATGCCAATATGAAACACATACATGTTTAAACGTGTTTATAATAAAGCATGTTCTCTCATTATATCAACGTACGTTTGGCATTTACATTAGAAATAGACCAGCATCTGTATTATATTACAATACACAAGGGTTCCAGAGAGCGTTTTTCACTTGGGGGTTAGCTTCCATTCATTTACCTGATCTTCTACAGAGAGCAGGATGCAAAATTATTCCAACATGTATCTACTCTATGGAATATGTGCTGGTGGAAAACCTTTGTTCTGCATTATGTTAGCACAAATCATAGTGAGCAGATCCAAAGAACTTTCTCTTCCTGGAAAAGAAAATTCTGAAAACACTCAGCAATTTTTAGTACTTTTCTGTGTATGTACCTATGTGTGTTTTCACTCAAAATATTTACTGATTTTCTGAAAAAGCATTACATACTGATTGTAGAAAATTTGAAAAAATATAAAGCAGAGAGAGAAAATCACCTAAGTCCAACAATAAAGACAGCAACTATTCACATTTTGGTATTTTTACCCTTTTTTGTTTCAGGGAATTTCTTTTAATAGTGTGGTAAAAGATAACTTATTTGATTCCAAATCTTCACACTGTAAATAGGGTACCATCACTTGATTCATAAGTTAATAACAAATGCAAGTAGTATTTCTTTTCTGTGACGTTGAATGTAGACACATTCTCCTTGACAAACTGCAAAGAACCTGTCATACTGTTACACAGTAAAGAGAGTTTTATAAAGTAGAGATGGAGTGAGAAGAAATGTAGGAAAAAGAAAATGTGCAGCGTGCTTACCTCATCATCATCAGCATCATACTGCGCATAGTGCTGCTCAAGCAGCTCTCTCTGGCGCCTTTCTTGTTCCAGCGTCTGGCTTATCAACTGGGCTACCTCACTCACTTGCCCGGGTTTTTCTCGCCCAATAATAAATCTGTGGGAAGGTTAAAGAAGACTAATGTAGTTAGACTCTCCAGCAGAAAGGAGTGCTAAGAAAAGTAACCAAGCTTGATATCTCACCAGGGTCCATCAAGCCTCAAAAAAGTGTTATCACCTATATACTTTAAATGGTATGCCTGAGTGGAAGGAGAGGTTAGCTGAGCAATTAAAGTGATTTTTGCAGACATAGCCCAAAGGAAAAGGTAGGGCCCATAAAAAAATTATTACTCTGGGAGAAGAAAAAACAGACGTAATCCATCCTACAGTACTGTACACATTTTTGATGCCCTATAAACGGAAGCAAACTCATAATTTCCTGTACCCTTGAACTAAGAATCATTTCCATACTAATGTCCTCTTTATAATGCAAAAACTGCTTCAAAAACATTTTGAGGTATAGCATACCTTAGGTGGGCAAATAAACAGAAAGGCACTGACTTTTTGCTAAGTTATTATAACTTAGGAGATAAGAAAAAGAAGAGGAAATAAATGTAGAGTTTTTTTTTATTTTGTTCTAAAAGTGAAAAACTAAGATAAGAAGAGGTAGTGAATTAATTCACTTCTTTCAGAGAAAGAGATGGTATGAGCAAGGGTGTGGCTTCAAGAAATAAAAGAACAAAGGAAAATATCTGTTGGTATTAATTCTTGTAAGAAAAAGGTATAAAGAAAAAACAACGAAAGTCATTTATTTATTTATTGCAAGCCACAGTCACTTGTGATATATCCTCATCAATACTATGTGTCTTGCTCAAATTAACATACACTTTTTAAAGTCTTTTTATACTAACATATGGTTCTATTTTTCTAAAAATACAAATATAATGTCTCCATGATATAGTTTCTATATAAAATTTAACTTAATTATTTGGGGTGTGACTATTTAATCTTGTTTCTAAATTGATATCTTCCTCTGATTATGTTGTTATTTTCGATCATAATTTTAAATGAAATATTCCACCATTCTCTGTACAAATACACTAAGGGTCAAAATTTTTACATTTAGATGTTACTTATTAACTGTCTTTTTAGAAATATTTTTATGTTGTTTCAAATAGGACTCAGAAATTATGATTGCGGGTCAGCCCCGTGACTTAGCAGTTAAGTGCGCCCGCTCCGCTACTGGTGGCCTGGGTTCGGATCCTGGGCGCACACTGACGCACCACTTCTCCAGCCATGCTGAGGCAGCATCCCACATATAACAACTAGAAGGATATGCAACTATGACATACAACTATCTACTGGGCTTTGGGGAAAAAAAAGGAGGAGGATTGGCAATAGATGTTAGCTCAGAGCCGGTCTTCCTCAGCAAAAAGAGGAGGATTAGCATGTATGTTAGCTCAGGGCTGATCTTCCTCACAAAAAAAAAAGAAATTATGCTTGGGTGTTCATTTATCATCTGAGTTATTTTCCTTTGGGAATCAACTATAAATAGAATTTATAAACACTAGAATTTTCATCTTTTTTCAGGTATAGTTTACAAACAATAAAATAATCTATTTTCAAAGTATAGTTCAATAAGTTTGACAAATGTATAAACCTGTAACCACCACATCAATAAAGATATAGAACATTTCCATCAACCTAAAATATACCATTCCCCTTTCCAGTAAACCATCCTCACCCTGGGCCCATAGAAAAACCCTTTTCTAGAGTTTCATATAAATGACTTCATAGAGTATGTGGCTTCTTGGATTCATCATAATGTTTTGGAGATCTATCCACGTTGTTGTAAGTATCCATAATTTGTTCCTTTTTATCACTGAATAGTATTTCATTGTCTCCGAATTGATGAGTCATATGGTAGTGTATGTTTAATTTTGAAAGAAACTGCCAAACTATTTTTCAAAGTGGTAGTATCATTTTATATTCCTACTAGCAATGCATGAAAGTTGCAGTTGCTCTACATCCTCACCAATACTTAGTATTGTCTTTTTAAATTTTAGCCATTCTACTGGGTATCTAGTGGTATCTTATAATTTTTTTTTTTAAACTTTATTTATTTTTCCCCCTAAAGCCCCAGTAGATAGTTATATGTCATAGCTGCACATCCTTCTAGTTGCTGTATGTGTGATGCGGCCCCAGTATGGCCGGAGAAGCGGTGCGTCGGTGCGTGCCCAGGATCTGAACCCCGGGCCGCCAGCAGCGGAGCGCGCGCACTCAACCGTCAAGATATAATGGTTTTAATTTCCAATGGCCTAGTGACTAATAATGTTAAGTATCTTTTCATGTACTTATTGACCATTCATATATCTTCTTCAGTGAAATATCTTTTCAAATCTTTTGCCCATTAAAAAAACTGGGTTGTCTGAGCTTTTATTATTCAGTTGCAATGGTTCTTTATATATTCTGGATACATATCCTTATCTATATATATTACAGATACATACATACACACAGATATATACGCACACACAAACGATATATGCATATGTGTTTATTTGTTTATTTATTATCTTCTCCCAATCTGTGACTTGCCTTTTCATTTTCTTAATTGTATCTTTCAAGAAAGTCCAATTTATCACTTTTTAAAAGATTTGTGTCTTTTGTTTCCTACCTAAGAAATCTTTGCCTGATTTAAGATTGCTAAGATTTTTTCCTATTTTTCTTCTTGAAGTGTTAATCTTTTGATTTTATATTAGGTCTATGATACTTTTCAAGCACGATATTTGGTAAGGGCAGAGTTTCATTATTTTCCAAGTGGATAACCAGTTGTTTCAACACCATCGGTTGAAAAGACATTCATTATCGTCATTGAATTGCCTGGGTATATTTGCTGAAAATCAATTGACCATATATTTGTGGGCTGATTTCTGGACTTTTCAACCTATTCCATTGATGTATTTATCCTTGTGTCAATACCACACTGCCTCAATTACTATACAATAAATCCTGAAACCAGGTAGTGTGAGTTCTCCAACTCTGTATAACTTTTTCAAAATTATTTTGACTATTCTAAGTTATCTGCATTTCCACATAAATTTTACGATCAGCCTGACAATTTCTGTTGAAAAGCCCACTGATGTTTATTTGGGATTGCTTTGAATCTATAGATCAATTTGTGGAGAACTGACATCTTAAGAATATTGAGTCATCTGATCCATGAACATGGTGCATTTCTGCATTTATTTTTAAAGTGTTAGGTTAAAATACACATATATCTTCATTCAGGCAGCTATTTTGGGTAGCATTATATCACCCAGCTACACACATCTTTAACACCTTGTAATCTGGTATAATTATAGTATAGATTTGTGATAAGAGAATGTCATCCTGACAAGTATGGTTGAGAGGGAATGTACATAGAAGTGGAACTGAACTTCTCTATTCCTTATTTTCCCCATGTGAAAATTAGTATCTCCCTCATATGTCTAAAGGAGAGATAAAAGAATAAAATGTGGTATAGACATGAAAGGACTTTAAGGCACTATTATTATTATGACAAAACTGATAAAATCCCCCATTTGGAAAATTTATAACATTAAAATTACTTTTCTATATGTTCTAAATGTTTGGTCCATGTTTAAGCTGTCTTTATAAATATGTCCTATAACAGTACATGTACAATCTAGCACATACAGAATTGAATAGAGAATATAAAATTTAAAGGTTATTTCAATCATGGATTCACAGTATGGATATGCTGTGATAGTATAATTTAGGGGTTAAAAAGGTCTGTAAAAGAGAAAAATGACTTTGATAGGACAAATCCACTGAACCATAAACAAGACTTACTGGCTCTGTGACCTTGAATATATCAATATTTCTAATCCTTAGTTTTTATATTGTAAAATGAATACAATAACAAATATTACATAATCCACACAAAAATCCATATAAGTACCTGGTGACTCGAGAGTGCTTAATACCTGTGTACTGTTGTTTTTATCTAGATAATGTATTAATATCGAGATGGGGTTGAGTGCACTTAAAAGTACTATCTGTACACATTTTCCCAATTACCTTTTATTTGATCACACCAGTTTTGAAAACAGACTAGGTTTTTATGAGTCAAGCACAGGAAAAAGATAAAATGCTGGCACTGAAGTGTGCTCTGCAAACCTTAATTTCAGTTGCCATTGAAATGGCATTTTAATTGGCCATTTAAAACTGAATTTTAAAAATTGTCAAAAATACAAGTAATCAAGTCAGCAACAATCAGTCCCTCTAACTATATGTGATCAAATCAATTGATGTTTGTGCACAACTATGATTTATATTTTAGACATTATTATCTCCACTGAATGACAACACATGTACTCAAATCAGCCTGTTTCTAAACTTAAAGTTCCTTTAAGAAAAAAATATTTTTTCTTGTCACTTTCTATAATTTTTTTCTTTGTTTGAACAAGGAATGGTGTGGTCTTTGGTTTTGTAGCTATAAGGAATGAAGTCAAGAGACCAAACTGCAATGGATATTTAAATTAAAAATTAGGTATTTTCTAAGCTTATGACTGACAAATAATGACACTACTACTAAAACTCCCAAAATCTACAATTAGGGTTTATGTTTTTACTATGTCTTGTTTATAATGTTTAAAGCAATCATTTTGTTTCAGTGTGAATTATTTCACTAAGAACTGCCCCCGCTCCCCCTCAGGCTGAGATACAATAGGCAAAGGCAGATAAATCAGTTTTTCCTTTTCTTTTCATCTATTATCAGACCAAGCAATGTCCACGTATTGTCCTTTGGAGTTTAGATGACAAGGTTATATGGGATTCATTTGATTAGTTTATTGAATTCTCTGGTGAGCTGTCAAACAAGAACTAAACGACTATAAAACTGCATTTACAATTTGCTGAACTGAAGTCATAAAGATCCTACATGCTCTGTGTGAATGATGTAAGAGGTTATCTTGAAAAATGATGATTTATGAGTACCTTGTTTTTCCAACATAAGTTATTCTAATAAAAGTGACATACGAGTCAAATACGGCACTTGAATGCCATCAAAAATTTAAAATTCTCAATGTGGAATTAAGCTAATCTAAAAAAGGA